TCAGCCACATGAACAACCAATTTGGTGTTAAAACATGTATTCACATTGCTTTGTCTTGTACTTTTAAAAGAAATATAGAAAAGCAAAAATAATATTTTTATTTTAGGAGGTAGCAAGAAGTAGCATTATGCAATGATGTGAAGATGGATTTGTTGATAGGAAGTGATTATAAAGAAAATAGAATAGTTTAGAGATCCATATAAACCATCCATCCTTTTCTGCTTATCCAGTTCAGGGCTGCCCAGGGCCTGGAACATATCCCAGCGGCCATAAGGCTTGCTTAACCTTAATTAAATTGTGAACTATGAATATTATCTGCTTCATTTAATTCTTTGTGAACTGTGAATAAGCTCTTGTTATGTGTCAACTTACACAACACTGGCCTCTAGGACTGGAAAGTGAAGCCAGAATGGAAATGTACAAAAGGAAGAGGCCACTAAGTCAGCTCTGCCAGCTCCAAACGAAGTCCCATTGTACTGAGGTCTGTGAGAAAAAGGTCCTACTGCTCACTAGATTGATACTTTTATAAAAACTTTCTGGTCTTGATTGCTAGTTTCAAGTCTCCTTTAATAGAGAATCACATTCATTTTATCAATTACTATCAAATTGAGAACAAAATAAATGATAAATAACTGCATGTTTTGGGGGTTGTTTCCTTGGGATAGACAAGTACATATGAACAGAGCGTCCTGGAGGTTTCAGAGAGATTAGCTCTTGCAACATTGTTTCTCTCTCTGAAAGATGTTGACATCCAAATCAAATCTAAAGTCTTCGAAATGTTAGTCCACAAACCAAAGGTTGACGTCACAGTGGCTACAAATTACTTTTACGTATAATGAAGTTGTGCTGATTAATAGTGTTCCTTAAAGCTCAATGTCAATCCTAACACGACCTCTATCAAACTGGCAGTACTAACATACCAATGTTTATAATGTTGGCCATGTTAACAACATTAACATACTCAAAGGTGATGCAACAATATTCCCAGTAGTTTTCAGGTACTGCTCAGAAATATAATTAGTGACATCACAGTAGTATAACACTTTTAATACTCTCAAACTATTTGATTCAACATATAAATCAAGTCAAGTCAAGTTTATTTATAGAGCACATTTAAAAACAACCAAGGCTGACCAAAGTGCTGTACAGTAAATACAGATAAAAATACAATAGAACACAATTTCGTAGTAACACCTCGCTGATAAAAATAAAATAAAAATAAATAAAACAAATAAATTAAACCTTTCTAAAAGCCAATGAAAAGAGGTGAGTTTTAAGAGCGGTTTTAAAAGTTTCTAGGCTTTTGGAGAGTCTGACGTGAGGAGGTAAGCTGTTCCACAGTCTGGGTGCAGCCACAGCAAACGCCCTCTCTCCCTTTGTCTTTAATTTATACCTGGGAACATCTAAAAGCATCAGGTCGGCTGACCTCAAAGATCTCCTGGGGCGATAAGTACTAAGGAGTTCTGACAGGTAAGAAGGTGCAGTGCCATTTAAAACCTTAAAAGCCAGCAGTAAGATTTTAAAATCAATCCTAAAGGCAACTGGGAGCCAGTGGAGAGAGCAGAGAACCGGAGTGATGTGGTCTCTTTTTTTTGAACCGGTCAACAGGCGAGCGGCAGCGTTCTGCACCAGTTGAAGGCGATGTAGACAGGAACGATCTAGGCCAGCATAGAGGGAATTGCAGTAGTCTAGCCGTGAAGTAATAAAAGCATGGACCACTCTTTCTAGATCGTTCCTGCAAAGGTAAGACTTGACTTTGGCTAAAATCCGCAAATGATAAAAAGATCCCTTAACTACAGAGCTGATTTGTTTATCAAGTTTAAAAGCATTGTCAAAAATAACACCAAGACTCTTAATGGAAGAAGTGCAATCGGAGGGTAGGGGTCCCAAGAAGTCAAGAGAGAAGTTGGGATCTTTGGGAAGCCCAAACACAATGACTTCAGTTTTGCTTTCATTAAGGTGTAAGAAGTTAAGAGTCATCCAAGTCTTAATGTCAGACAAGCAGGAGAGTAGCGGCTGCAAAGAAACATTGCAGTTCAACCTCAGAGGGAGGTAGATCTGAATATCATCGGCAAAGATGTGGAAGGACACATTATGTTTACGGAGCACATCGCCCAGAGGGAGCAAGTACAGAATAAACAACAGGGGGCCTAGTATGGACCCCTGGGGTACGCCACAGGTTAAAGGAGCTCTGGGAGATGACAAATACTGTACATACACTATAATTGCTTGATTGGTTGAAAAGAAAGAGGGACTGAGGGCAAAGAATTCCAGCCATGCTTAGTTTTTCTCGTAGCCACTGTAACCTTTGCTGATCTGAACAGCGCCTGAGAAAGTACAGTGAACATCACTGTTAATGTCATTAGCAGAAGCCATACTACTGTAGCAGTGAGGTCTGTGAAATATCCAGATCGGTCAGATGTCTTTTTTTTAAAAAAGAAAAAAAAGAACAGAACAAATTAAAAACAAAAGGAGAAAATGTAGAGTGAGAAAAACAGACCAATAGCCATGACAGATACTCAATAGAAACTCTGTCTAAATTCCTCCAGATGGGGCCTCACGCACACCATGCTCTGTCAGGAGACTGATGGATGACCTGTTTCATGCTATCTCTCCAATCAAGGACCAGTGATCTGTCTGATTAAATTAGCCCAGGGTGCTGCATCTGGATGTCCAGCCTCAGCTGTGTGCCTCCTGAATCAAATGTCCTCACTGGGTGAGCGTGGGGGTTTTGTGAGTCGAGATGACCTGTCTGACTCCGAGACAGCATCCATGATAAGATGTGAAGACAGCTGCCTCTGTCTTCACGCAACGCACACACATACACAGAGACACATGCACACATGCACAACCCTGGAGGAAGCTCATATTTCTCTAGCCATCATATCTATTGTTTTTATTATTAACTAATTGTGGAATTTTCATGTGTGGAAATGTTCCATTCCTCGAAGGAATCATATGAAAGGGCAGATGCCAAACATTTATTCAGTCCCTAAATTCATTAAGATACAGTGGGGCAAAAAAGTATTTAGTCAGCCACCGATTGTGCAAGTTCCCCCACTTAAAATGATGACAGAGGTCAGTAATTTGCACCAGAGGTA